CTACCTGCAACCTACACAACAATGGGTAGGGCGGCATTCACACAAATACACACCCCCATCTTCTTCTACCCCCCCTTTTCCGGTGCCCTTGCCTGGTTCCGGCGGAAAATGGTCCGACGGGGCTGTTCCCCGAAGAAATGGCTCACTCTAGGCCTGGGAAGGTTAGCGGAAGAATGCGGAAGACCACTCAATGCTGCAACCCTACAAAGATTAGGGCTCCTAGTTTCAGGGGTTTCTTCCACAACGACTCAAGCCGGAAACCTCGTCAGGAGAAACGCGCTTGCTCCGTGGCCGAGGAAAGGTTGAACAGTGATTGTGATCAGCCATTGGTCCATACTTCCCACTAAACTCCGCTCACCAACAGGCATCAGTCCCTACTTCCCACATCATCACTCTTCCCTGCATCTCACTGCCCATATTGCTGCACTTTACTGAGCAACTGCTTTGCGCTCCGTAGTCCGGCTAAACGTTATGTCTACATCGCTGCTGCTTGCCGTCTTCCGAGTTGTCAGCGTGTCTTCCCTGCATTGCCATCCTTGGCCTCTAATTCCCTGCATCCCGGCTCTAAGAGTTTTCAGGAAATTACTCCCTCAAACCTGATTAATTAATTTCCTCTCAGACGTGGGCACCGCAAATTATGCATTGGTCACGGTAATGGTTCGGTAGCCGCTCTCCCCCAGGAAGCTTTGGTTCCCGGGTTCTGCGGAAGGCATGCTGAATTCCCTTACCTGTCCCTCACATGATGCTTTCTCACATGTTCTGTATGTTCAGTTGGTGCCAATGGGCTCGGTATCTGATTGTAATCGTTTCCACATCTCAAATTCTGCTCCCTTGTCTCACGCATCCAGTAACTCAGCCTTCCTTCTGTAGCCATACTTTTCCAGGACTTGTTGTTACCGTTGATACGCTTCAGCCGTTCTGGCAACCAGGTTTGTAAGTCTGGGCCGTCTTGTTTGCTCCTCCGCTGCCATAAGCAAAGCATATGTTCTCATCTCCCTTTGTCATCGCCGCTTCCCTCACACCTTCCACTTTGTCTTGCCCTGCCGCCGCAGACAAAGTTGATGAAAACGGCTGGTCTTCTCTGATTCCCATTGTCAGTGATGCTCGTCGCTGGGTTGCAGTAAAACTTGGTGCATCTTTTCCGGTTCCCACTGAAAGTGGTGTACGGCGCTGGGTCATGGCTTTCTCTAGCAACTTCTCCGAAAAACCCTCCCTCTTGGGACCCAGATTTCACTTACACAGCCCTGGAGGATTCGTCCAGACCACCCCTCCACAGTTAACCCCCTGGAAACAAAGGCACTCGCTAGTTAAACTTCAACAATTTTTTCTTTTTGTCCAATACAATCGGAAGCTCAATTTTCCCACGGCAGGGGCTTATCCCCCCAATATCACCAGTGACAGCGTGCTCCCAACATATCAAACAGTCAAGCAAGCTCCCCGTTCGAGATCACTGCTCCCCCTTTCAGGACCAAAAATGCTACTGCTGCGGGAGGGCTCTTGAGCCAAAATGGCTACCTCTCTCTCTCTCTCTCTCAGCAAAGTCACGTGTCCAAAGGTGATCAGCAGCACGACTACAGACTACATGAACCTCGCAACTGGCTACTAGATTACGTGAATGAAACACATCCAGCAAAACTTCTTTATCTCTTGCCGGGCTAAACACAGGAGCCATTCTCCATCCCTTCCGCCGTGGATTCCTGAACCTCTCTCGGATGGGAAGCTCGGCAGCACGTCCTCTCAGGAAAAGGCACCCCACCAGAAGCACAGTCTTTTTTTTGCAGGTAGGCAAAGCAGGCAGAGGGAGCTTGAGCTTGTCGGTCTCATCGCCCTTTGACGTCCAGGCGCAGCAGGCACCAGCCCACCAGGAGCCAGACTGGAGTCAAGACCTCATAATCAAATCCAATCAACTGAAAGACAGAAGCTTGCAACGAAGAAATCAGCTTGGAGACATCGAGTAAGTTGTGACACAGCTTCATAATCTTGGCTCTGTGCCACCACCCAAAGCACGAGGGTGACTTTCGGGGAATGCCTTTGGAAGCTTCACTTGCCATCAAGCTCTGAGACAACGTGAACTCGGCCTCTTGTATTCGACGAAGTTTGAAGGTGTATGCGTTGCATCCTGCTCACTTTGACTCATCACTTCGCAAATCTTAGAATCAATGAACCAGCCTCTGGTAGGAGCGGAAGACTGGATGCAAGCTCCTGGGTCTCCGTTCGGTCGATGCAGGCTTGTGTGAGTGAGGCTTTGCATTTGTAGGTGTCCAACGGATCTTGGACCATCCGATCCATCAACATGCACCTGCTTGTGAAGATGCCTGGTCCAATGCGCACAGCCCATGCAGATTTGGCAGGAGTTGATCGGGCCATCGGCCTTTGCAAGGATGCTAAAGTCTTGACCAGCCCTGATGCACTTTGGGCCTCAGGTTTCAGAAACAAAGAGGGAAAGTACTGGAAACATAAGAAAACCACTTGGTCTGGCACAAGCTGTTGTAACTCCAATTGCTCAGATTTTGCCTACACGGCTGAATGTATGAGTCCATGAGTCCACTGCTGCAGGGTGCTGGTTCCATTGGTGGTACGTGAAGACTTGGCAAGAGACTTGTCGAGGTTCGAGGGAGCGGGCGGAGCGCTCCAAGTTCCAGTCCCGGCCTCCAAACTTAGGAACAAAGCGTCGCTTGTGCGCAGTGCTGAACACTTGGAGCCACGCGGGACTGCATGAGGCAAGAAGCGTCCTCAAGCCTGAGCTGCCCCGCTACTATACTTTCTTGGCGTGTCACAGCTGTCAGCTGCCAAGCTTACTGTAAGAACTCGGAAAAAAGTGTACGACGCAGTCGCAACAGGTACAGGTTCCGGGGACGAGGCCTTGTTTCAGCCTCTGCTCTCAGCAGAGCAAGCATTGGGAGCAGACCTTGTTGGTCAAATCCCACCACTCTCCTCTGAGAAACGAAGACTGCCTGAATACATTGCTACTTGTTGCCTCTGCACACGTGCCGCAACATCTCTGGCGACTCGGACCTGCACAAAACGCACTCTATTCTCGCCAGTGTTCCGTGGCTTGGCAGCAGCGATGGCTCGTGCAAATGTCCTATGACCGCTAGCTAGATGGAGGCAAGTCATGGAAAGTCGCACTGGTGGATTGATTGCGGCTTCCAGCTGTGACTATCCTGAAACTCCTCTCAACATGGACTGCCACCTGGCCGACGGCAACACGGGGGCCCTTAGGCCATGGCCTCTACTCAGGCCTCCATAAGAATAAGAAACTGTTCGGTTCTCGAGCCAAGTTGTAGCCTCAATCAAAAACCAAAGAGTTCAGTATAAGAACGTCTCTCCTTGATTCGCATTTTGCTTCGCCAAGGATGCAATGAGAGTTGTGACAAGCCCTGGCTAGGGTGAAACATGAAGGAATACTTTGGCTCCTTACCGCTCACTGGGATTGGACTGCGCGTAGATGCACAATATCCTCTAAGCACAGACCGCTGAAGCTATGCCCAGTAATGCAGAAGAGTCAACCTCATGCACTCGAGGAAGGTGTCGCGACTCTCGCTTGACTCTTCCACCAAGCAGAACCTTTCACAGAGTCTCGCCACGATTTTCAAAAAGCATTACCTAGTCTTGCTGCGCTGGAGAAGCTGCCTGAACAGCTTCCCATCAGCGTCGCTAAACACCTCAGAGGTTTTGCCAGCTCGGCCTCTTGCTCAATGTCTTCTCCAGCTTGGCTAGTTGGGGCCACACGATCATCAGTAACCGTTCTCTGTCCTCGCCGCAAGAAAGCTCCAAAAAAGACGTGTGATGCAAAGTCAGCAGTGACATGAATTTCGACTCTGGTTCAACAAGCGCTCTCCTTATGAACTACGTGAAGTGACAATCTCAAGCATTCGGAGTTAGGATTACCACGTCTGATAGTGTCCTCTGCTCCAAGAGCAGAAACGACTTCCGGCGGAAAACAGCTCCTTGCCAAAATGCTAGCAGCCCGAATGCTGTCCAGACTGCGGAAAAGAACTGAGGCCGAGGCGCGCCATCTTCCGCCGTAGAGTAGATGTCCTAACGACACTGCAGAATGTCCCAACAATACAAGACACTCGAACATGAGAGCACGACGAATTTCCAAAACGAGCGCGAACATCACAAGAAGACCAGCTCGGGTGGCAGGATGGGCACAGGCTAAGAATCTTGACCACCTATCCACATTCACCTAACCAGCTGTTTGACACAACGCTGATCGGAACCTATCAGTGACTCAGCTTGGTCCTGTATGGCTGCTATCGGGCAGGTGACTTCGGTGACTCCTGGCTCCTGGCAATCCACACGTTTATGCCCTAGCATCCCTGCGAATGCTTCTCATACCTGCGGATTCACCAAGATGAGGTACTCCAGACTCTTGTCCTTAAAAGAATGCATCCTTGGGAGCCATACTGTGTCTCCAATTGACTGAGCCGCTGTCTATGCGATACTGTGTTTCAAATCGCGTTGCCGTGCCTTCTTTGAAGTACCTGCCAGGTTACTCTATGCTCAGAGGTTCAAAACCATCCCACCCTTGCTTTGTCTGCTAGCTGCCAGGGGCACACACAAGGACAACCTCGCACTGCCTCGTAAGGCACGGTCAGGGCCCCATGCAAGTGAGGGGACAGCAGATACCTGGCCTTTTTTGCGAAGTTGTTGACCAAGCCCTGCAAACGGACCTTCGCACCAGAAGTTTTCAGAGCAGTTGTCGTAAGAAATCGCATCTAGAGCACTATGAGAGCCTTCTCGGCCTCTTTCTCCTCTGGTGTCAAGGAGCGTGTTGACCTGATCTCAGAATCTCCTTGCCAGACCCTGTTTCATGAGAAGCTCCGTGGCCAAGACCGAGCAGATGGCACATCCTGAAAAAACGCAAAACAGATCAAAATCTATTCGAGACCTGGAAATGGTCCTTGGAGGCAGCCACCCTGCCAGACAGGGCACGACTGCCAAATGCCCCTCCAAACGATGCATCGTCATGTGCCTTGTTACTTTATGTTTGGACGTGAAACAGATGCGAGATGGGTGACAGGTGCCTTCGAGTCGTTAACATGTGTGTTTTCACGCCATATGTGGAAAAGCGTGATAGATGCTTCCGATGAATGGAAATGTGCCTTTTTGCAATATGTGAAGGGTTGCGCAAAGCAAAAACCAGGATCTGCGCGCCAGTTGCCCGTAAGGCTTGGAAATTTGTCTTGCGCTGGTTGGATGTGTATAACCTCTGGTGCATTTGTTGAGGATACAAGATCAAGCATAATGCGGGCTCATGTTCAAAAGAGAGCGGGGCACAGCCCCACCCATTTGCAAACATTGGTGCTGAGGATTCAATATTAAAGCTCGGAAGTTACACGGCCTCTTGTCAGTGGCCAGGTAGGGAACCGTCTTTTCGTCAGAGGCGATCGGCAGGTTGAACTGGGTCTCGAGCGGATCCTGAAGTATAATCTCACTGGCTTTTAGTAGGGGATATGGGAATGTAATCCTTTTATAATCCCTGTGCAATTTATTGCCTTTTTTTGTTCAACTAGCGACTCGGCAGTGTTTATTGCCTTTATCCTTACTGACAACTAGCAGGTAATCTGTCAAGAATAAGAAGACTCCAAAGACCCATCTGCCAGCCTGGGCATCAGTGCAGCAACAACCACCTCAGACAAAAACGCAAATCCTGCAGCAGTTGCTGGCCATTGTCGGATGTTTACAAGTACTCATGCGCGGGTTCACAACTCAAACTGGGCAGCCTCTTCAGTACAGAATCGCTCTGGTCACACACGTACGTTTCAGAACTTTAGCCGATTCGGTCGCAGGGTGCCATGACACATCATGATATGCCAAGCGGCTAAACATAGCACAGGAGACTGCGAATCCTCTCACGGCGAAAACACAACCATTAGCGATCAACAGAATGTTCTCTTGATGTCCTGTGAGCTGCGAAAGGGTGATCGCACACTTAGCGATCCCTTTCTTGGTGGAAGTGCAACGAGCCACAAAGCAGAGAAGTCTATCAAACTGTCCAGGGAGCAACTTTCGTGGGCAACTCAGTCACTCGCAAACTCAATCAGTGTCTTGCACACTGCTTTCCTCTAAGCATGCTGAAGTTTCAGCTCACCCAAAGCGCTGGCCCTATGCCTGCTGACGCTTTGCGCCGGGGCACGGGGGCCTCCTAGAACTACAAAGCTGCTGAAGCACCAGCCAGCAGCTGAGCTAAGCTAGCAGCATCCGAGAGCCTCATGTTAAGGCCCAACGGAAGCCTTTTCCAGCTGCCTTAACCTCCTCCCAAAGGCGGCTCTAAAGGCGCATGCAAACGCCTCTCCAGCCCGCGCAGAACCTAGGAAAGCAAGGTGAGGGGTCTTCAAATCAGAATGTCTGAAAGTTCTCAGTGGTGCTCGTGGCGGTAGCCTGCAGCATCCGGGGCGCCATCCCACAAGGCCTTCAATGGAAGCACACTTAATCAGCTCTCCAAAAACCTCTAACATCAAGGGGCCCGCACCGGAATGTGCCGCCTTCCAGATGATCGAGCTTCGACTCCCGCCTATAAGCAATCAGCTGAGTAGGATTGAGTAGGCTATGGTTGTCGAACTTGAAACCACTTGTTTTGAAAAGCGCCGAAAACCCACACATATTTCAGACACCCTCAGCCGCATCCGAAAATGTTCGCCCAGTTGCATTTGGCTTTGGCATTGATTGGTATGTAACAACAAAAACCCGAGCTTTTGGATTTGGGAAGACATGACCTGAAAAATCTTAGAGACTATAAAAAGGCATAAGCATATAGATGATGTATAGACACAACCCCCATGATCCACCGACACCCTGAAAACACAGTGAACACCGCTAGAAACAAGTATTTTCGGATGATCGGATTTTGCACACATCCCTGTGTCGCATTGGGTTTGAGAGAAATTCGCCCACAATCAGCACCATTGTACTTGGTTAATACAGCAATAATACGGAACGACAGGAACACGGAGAACTAGAATAACAAAAAACAAGTTTCCGAGGAACTACAGTGGCTGACCAGAAAAAGTGTTTTGGATGGGTGTCCTGAATGAAACACAGACTAGGAAACTATGGATGCACGGGAAACCACAAGCACAAAAACAAAACGAATATACAACCTGTTGGTTGAATTATGGTGGCTGCTAGAAAAGGTCGGCATCTCTAGTCTTCCTAGGAGAAAGTTGGTTTCCATGAAAAATAACTTTTCCACTTTAAAAAGAATGCAAGCCCAGGCCTTCCAAAAACAAACTTTTCCTAGGAAACATTGATTTTTTTAAGCCCAAGCCTTCCAAAATGCATCCTAGGAGAAAAACTTTTTTGTGGAAAACCAACTTTTCCGAAGCAAAACCAAGAAAACCTTTCTTTACGCAGCCACCATAGTTCCGCAACAGGTTGGTTATTTTGTTTTTCGGTTTTCCCAGTTCCAAGAATTCAGCTGACTCTGATGAAGGAATCCAGGATTGCAGAAATTTCTGTATTCGTTGTACTTGAACTGAGTAAGGGGTGTATATGGACTGGAAAGATTTCCGTGGTAGTCTTGAATAAGTTCCACACGGGATGTATATGGACCAGAGCCAGCTCAAAAACAAGGAGGAATCCAGGAATCCAGGCTTTCCCTCATTAGGGTGGATGAATAAGAAATCAAAAGAGCATACGGATCTCTTTTGTTCCCCACGCCCCTGTTGCTGGCTTTCTAAAGGAAGTCATATTCAGGGCCCAAAAGACATGGAATTAGGATATATTAGAATTAGGGGTTTCCTGCATGTCCTAGATTTGGGTCGTGTTTATAAGGCTTCTAGTTTTCATAAACGAACCCTGGAAACCTCTCTCCGGTGGGTCATGAAGGGTGTGAGCTATAGCAAATACATGCATCCACGGGCCAAAAATTAAACTAACCTCGTCTAGGAAGACCCTTTGTTAAACGATGCCGTGACTGCAGTTCAGCAGCTAAACTGGCAGCTGCGCTTATCAACAGCCTGCGGAACCAGAATGTTGCCCAGGTCACGGCGTCGTCTTGTTTTAAAACCAAAATTCTGAGCTTCGGCCAAGCAAGGCTAAGCGGGAGGCCTTTACAAGCTGCTCAAAAACCGCTGGGCTCCGGGCACAGCGCCTTCCTGCCGCACCTGCTTGCACATTGGGCGCTCCGCATGATTCTGAGTCTTATCTTCATCTGCACCTGCAATTCCTTCCGCCAGCATGGCAAATTGCTGTGCAGAACCTCCCGGCACTTGCAGGTGCAACTGCAGCAACGTGCATGACATGTTGCCGCGCTGACCATCAATGTCTTTGCCCAGGACAATATCATCCACACGCGATGCTGCGCCAGCCTGAAGCCGAGGACAGATTGCCCAGCTCAGCTGCGAGCGGCAACACGAGACTGCGGCAGGGATGTGGCGGCGGCCCTCCAGCCGATCTTCAACTCCGACCTCGGGTAAGGAAGAACACATGTCTGAGCAATGACCATTTAAAGACCAGTCAGCTGAACCATTTTCCACTCCTCGTAGCCCGTAAATGCAAGAGGTGC